CACACACACACACACACACACACACACACACACACACACACACACACCTCCTGGCTCGGCGTCCTGCCACAGCCAGTCATCTGTCTGATGAATAATGGAGCAGCGCTCCACCCACGCTGTGGAGCTGAGAGCCACCAGCCAACACAGATAAATTACAACATGCCTGTGATCGTCCCTGACTCATGCCAAACCTCTCACATGGACCTCTCGACACTCACACCTCTGGAGACAATCGCTGCTGGCTGATCAGCAGTCAGATCCACTGTGGCCTTAGTTTCCCCCGATGGGGTTACTATGGTGATGCTTGTCGATTTCTCAGCCCCGAAGGTTTTTGTGCGGCCTTGATACAGTCGGACTGTCTCTTGTCTCACACAGCGCCTCTTTATCCCTCTGTGGTGTGTCTGCCTGCTTCTGTCACTGAGGGGGGGGGACTGTGAAGATGAAAAAGGCAGCATTGAATACACTTGAAGTGAAGCAGATGGCACATTTAAAAAAGAAGGAAAGAAGAACACAGAAACAATAAATCTTACTGATTTTAGTGTGGAAGAATTCTTGAAGGAGTGATTGAAAAACAGTTGGAGTAGAAGTAAGTGGAGGTACAGTCGGTGTCGGTTAAAGCACACTCGGAAGTGGTTCTGCCTTGAACACTGCGAGGCTTTTTGTATTCCTCTCACAGCCTAACAATGCATTCCCCAGAAATGCAGCAGCTTATCTGGGTGTGAATCAGGGCCTGTAATCATCTCTGTACTCCTACTTTTAGTCTATCTGGCTTCCAGACTGTGGATAAAATGAATGGGAATCATCACTGGAAGAAGAAGTACCTGTGGTGCCATTATATTGGACCCAGAAACACACACACACACACACACACATATATATATATATATATATATATATATATATATATATATATATATACACACAGATATAAATACAAACTGCATATCGGCATACGGAGGAAGAGTATTATTATTATTATTTTCTTAACTGAGTTCTCCAACTTTCTTTTTTTTTTTATGAAAGACTTGATTGTGTAGTTTATAAAGTGTCAGAGAACACGATGCACAAACTAGTTATTTTTTAGCATAACAGCTTACACCCAGCAGTGCTTTGAGCTAACGCTAACCACAGCATGCTAACATACTCACAATTAACAGGCTGATGTTTAGCAGGTATAATGTTCACCGTTGTAGTTTAGTACTAAACATAGAGTACAGCTGGGATATGTCCTATATTCGTTTAGTACATATTGAAATTTTGGAAAGGTCAGAGATCACCAAAGTTATGACAATCCATCCTCTGGGGGATATGAACAGATGAACCAAACTTCATGTCAATACATCTTTTAGTCGTCAAGAAATTTCACTAAAATGTGAACTTCATGGTGGTGCTAGAGGCAAAGCCGTTAGGATTCAACACCAAGCTCAAACCAATCTTTGCATTTGTGAAGTTGTATTGAACCCAGTTTGGGTAATTTTACTTGATAAATGAATCAATTACAACAATTGTCTTTTATCGACCAACTAATCAGTCTCACTAAATGACCGATCGTCTCAGTGATATGCATGCAAATAATATCAAATGCTCATTTCATTCAGCTCACCAAAGAAAAGAAGAAAACAAGAGTTGAGGGTCAGACAAAACCTCCTCACTATGAAGGTCTAAAACTCAAATTGCAGAGATGCAGTTCAAGTGCAAGAACACACACACAACAGACAAACACACAAACAACCGCACGCACACACACACACTTCACTCACAAACAAGTCAATATCTTTTCCCAGCAGTGATGGCATCATTAGTGGCTGATCTGATTCTGCGCTGCCCTTCCTACAAATGTAGTTCACCTCTAGAAACTGGTTTGATTAGCGTCTCCTCCCAAACAACCTCAAGCTATTTGTTCTTGTTTTTTTAACCTTATGCAGTCACACTCCCTGCTTTTTGTGGCGTCTTCACCGCTGAAATCCTTTCAAACTACTCGAGGCAAATTTCTAATAAGTCTAACAAGATCTGAATTGTCCTGGATCTCAACCATCTTTCCAGCCCATATAAACCCCTCTTCAGGGATTAAATGACAATACAACATGTGTGTTTTTTTTGTAGGTGCTAATTATTTGAGAGTATAAATCAAAAACCCAAACCAGTTCTACTGTAACAAAAGCCAAAAACAGCCAGAGTAGAATATAGGAGATAGAAAAGCACCATAAAATCAGAACAGCAGTCTTCAAGCATTCTGCCAGACACCGTGGATATCGTTTAAAATAGATAGGATCAGCTGCTGAACTTTCAAGTATATCGCTTACACATCCATACTTCAAAGACTGAACTCGGGCTCAAACCGTCGGGGGAAATGTAAGTTTCTCAGCCTTACATGCTCAAGAATAATGATCGAGAACAACGTTAGATAAAGAGGAAGAGCAGATGGAAAAAAAAGGGAGGGAGACTGTGTGTGTAACAGGGAGAAGAATGAGTGATCTGTTTTAAAGAGATACCAGTCGATACATATGAATAAGTACTGTGTGTCAAGCCGCGGATGAGAGCTGAAACAGTGAGAAAGGAAGTCAGAGGAGTAGTGTAGAAAATAAGACAGGAGAGCAAGTTGGACAAAAAAAGTCAGATTTTCCGAGGATGGAAATAGAGCATCGACAAGGATATCAAAGGAAGTAGTAGGTTACGCTGAAAGAGAAGGATCAAACATTTCCACAGACGAAGAAGCGGAGTATGAGATCATTCTGTCACTCATTCAGCTAGAACCTTTACCTCAACTTGTGCCAAGCCTTTCATATCGTGACATTTCTTGCGGTTCCCAGACGGGAAACCAAACCGTCTGACAAGGAAGCGAGAGGAAAATATCCAGCAGAAGGTGATTGAGAGATTATGAGTTGTTGATATGATAAACAAATCATATAGGAGTTTTCAAGGCTGTCAAATATTCATTTGAAAGAGTCTTTACAAATTGCCAGTACCCATTCTGCAAATGTCTCACTGTTAATATAACTGGAGTAGCTTACTTGCCTGAGGGCTGAGCCTGAGAGTGATCCCAACAAGTCTACATTTTTTATAGCTTGCACTTACTTCCTTCATTACTTGCACTGACTGCTGATTCCCCAGCTCACTGTAAAGCAAAAGCTTTTTTTTTTTCTTCTGCGCTGTAGCCGAAACACATTAGCCTCCCTGCTCTGTGAACACCAGACAGGTGACAGACAAACAGGGAAAATTAGTTGTTTAAAATTGATTTTAGGAATTAAAAAAATCACAGGTAGAAGAGCCCTACCAGCTGGCATTGCTGCATCAGAAAGAGATGTTGAAGAAGTGAAAACAGTTTAGCCTCTTTAGTTGAAATGTATTCATGAGGCTACAAGACTAAAAAGCAAGAATGCTTCAGGTATCTCAGAAACATGGCCACAGACATAGAGGCTTACAGCCAAGACTTTTCACGTTCAGTAAGCACCGTGTCGGCGATCAGTCTTTAAGCTATAACCACACAAGCAAATACATGCAAACGGTTACACAGAGGCACATATTTACAGAGAAAGAGAATCTGGTCTCCCCTTCCTGTCCTCAGCAGAACTAACAGGATAAGGACTGCTGCTGTGACACAACATGACAGCTCTTAACAGGCTTCTCACTCTGACACAATTTCAACAGTTTAGCTCCTTCTAGGTACCAGCCATCACGCCCACAGTAAACACATTGGACCTTTTTCTGGCTATAATAAGGGAGCTGATGCCTGTGATGGAAGACGGAAGAAAAAGTGCTGAGTATAAAAAGTAATTTAGAAAACAAGGATGTTCCAGGATTTAAGCGGACTTTTTCACTTGGCACACAATAGTTCCCATGTTCTGTATTCAGGAGAACAGCATTTAATGAATTGTTTACAACTACATGTCCCTCGAAATGTAAATGTTCACAACTGAATTTGTAAGTCATTGCAGGAGATTCGCGTATGCTCAATGTGAGGCTACCACCAGGAGACGGTTAGCTTAGCTTAGCATGAAGACTGGAAACAGGCAGATAAAGACCTAGCCTGAGTCAGTCCAAAGGTAACAAAATCCACCTACAGTTTACATTACTCAGTATCTTGTTTGTTCAATTTATTTTAAAAACAAATCAAGATGTAAATACAACTTTAGCTGGCAGGCAGGTTTTTATTCATACTTTTGAACAGAGCCAAGCTACATGTTTCCCTGCGCTTATGAGAAATCAATTAAAGGGTTCAGTGAAATTCAAAGTGACACAAGCATGAAAGTGAATTCACTTAACTGTGCCAAAATGTAAAACAAGACCCCAAGTAGACCATAAATCTGTTTTAAAGGAATAGTTTGACATTTTGAGAACTCAACTTATTCTCTTTGTTGCTAGATCATTGCCATCACTCTCATGTCTGGAAATATGACGCTACAGCCAGCAGCTGGTTGACTTATGTAGACTGAAAACAGCAAAGTCAACAAAATCTGCGTACCAGCACCTCTAAAGCTCACTACTTGATACACAATACTGCACAGAACCCCCAGTTAAAACTTAAATAGTACTTTTTTACATTTGTTTTTTTTAAACAAACAAGATATAATGTGTTCGTATTTCGCATACAGAGTGGTATTGATCTTCTCGTCTAACTCTCGTAAATGAAAAATTTAAATAGTATTCCCTAAAATGTCCCTAAAACTATTGCGTTAAAGGACAGAACAAAACAACATCAAATCAAAATTGACTCACTTGTGTTGTTTGTTAATTTGCAAGAAATAAGCAATATATTCATGCCACTGCCTCTCTCTTCGGCTCTGACAAATGAGCTTCCCGCCCTGTTAAAGTTGAGACTGAATCAACACGTGAATGTAGCTGCTATTTCATCAATATTGTCTGAGACAAACAGAGCTATTGTTCTCCGTCTCTGCCATCTGTGGACAGTTTAATGCCAGCAGGTGTGTCAGCCTCTCCTGGGGACTCAGACTGTGCAGACTGTGAAACAGATTGACTCTGTATGGATTCAGAAACTGCAGACAGACGTGGAGAATTGACTGCAGACTTGTTGACTGACAGCACATAAACACACATTGACAGGTACACACATGTTGTTATTGTGCTAGATATTTCACTCAAAGTTGTTCGAACGGATAAATAAGACGCTCACAAGTGGCGTCATCTTTAAAGGGAGAAGCTGAGAGGATAGCAGTGAGACGAAGGCTTTTTACACAGTAATGCACATGAATAAATATGCTGATACAAACTATTCACACAGACATCCACACTCACACACATAGCAGTCAAATGGAAATGTGGGAAGCATGATTCAAGCTGCCTCTGGCAAAAACAAAGCAAGACCACGTTTCCTCTGGTCATCCTGGTTTCCTGTGACAAAGCTGTGTATGTCGACCTGCTCTCTCTCATGTGTTATGTCACCCAGCATCACATGAATGCAGGAGGAGGTTAAATTTGTTCTGCCTCGAACATGAGACGTGTGAACCAGTTTTTCCTCAGTATCTTCTATCTGAATGTGAGTCTGTGTTGTTCATGCGTGAGTAACGGATTAGTCACTAGCAGTTTGAATTGTTATGGTTTAGGGAGGGGTGGGAGCCACAGCTGTATCTGGACCCAGCTGTTTCTCTTTACTCTCACCACATCCTTGGAAAACTTCAGACCAGTGAAGGAGGAAGCTTTGTTTTCCGGTGCAATTTATTCTCGGTTTGAGTTTAAGTTTTTTTTTTTTTTTTTGTATATCATGATCAGAATCCTGGAGAAAGGAGCAGGAGTTTGGAACGAGGAACATGTTTTGGGGAGTGAAATGAAGTCGGTCCACAAATATTTGATGACATAATATTTGGGTGGAAAAGACTAAAGGCATGAAAGCCACAAAACCAAGGATTACCAGGGCCAAATGAACCCATCAGAGAATCCAGGGGCATAATTGTACTGTGGGCCCTTATTGACCCTCAGGTTCCTCCCACTTTGTAGATCCAGTATATATGGCAGCGTCATTATATTTTGGCCCTCAACTCCTATTCTGAATAAGTATCCGGCCTAATGTGTGCTATTTGTGGTAATTTTAATTCAACACATATATATTTAGGAATATACACAGCATCAACTGAAATAATGAAGATATTTAAACTGGATTTTGGCATAAGACTGAGCCTCAGGATTTTGTAATGATGCAGGAGCCAGCTTAAGGCCCACATCATTTCATTTATTGTACTTAGCTGGTGCGTATTGCAAAACAAATTAACTGACAAATGTATGACATCCTCCAGTTTATTCTCTTTCCAGTTCTGCCAGTTTAACCGAGGACAGTTTGAAGGATCTCTTTTTATTTTTGAATAAACTTGACAAAAATGTATTTTAATGTATTGATACAGTATATTCATTCTGTGTACGTTCTATAAACAAATCTATCTATCTATCTATCTATCTACAGGGAAGTTCATTTTAAGAACTTCACTCTGCTGCAGCTGGACGAGGAGTTTTCTCGGGGACGGGGTCTAGACGTCGGGGCCCGAGCCTGGAAGGGAGGCAACGTGCTGCTTTTCTTCTGCGACGTGGACATCTACTTCACCGCTGACTTCCTCAATACTTGTCGACTCAACACGCAGCCCGGTGAGACATAACTTTGCCTTTTTAACATATAAAAGATTGAAAGAATTAACATCAAAGATATCTGCAATGCATTTATGAGATCTCCAGTTACACTGCAGTGCAAGTGTTTGCAGATATCTTGAATTAGTCTGACTAGTCACATTGTAATTGTGATTCGTCTATATGCTATGCTAGTCTATATTTATAGATTTGTAAAATGTTATTAGGGATAGTCAAATAAACCTTTTTTACAAGGCAGAATGCAATGGCAGCTATCTAGAATTATAATTCCAAAGGATCAAATTGTGAATGGGTGAATGACATGTAGTATAAAATCACTTTGAGTGGGTCGGAAGACTAGAAAAGAGCTATACAAGTACAAGTCCACTTACCATTTCTTAAGTGTTAAAAGGGTTTGTCATTCACATCAAATCACTGCCTCGTCTGACGCCTCTTTCTCGCTCCATTTCAGGTAAAAAGGTGTTCTACCCGGTGTTATTCAGCCAGTACAACCCCACTCTGATCTACGGGAGTCAAGAACACGTCCCACCTGTGGAGCAACAGCTGGTAACACACACCAATCAAATCCGTAGTCTCCCTATTATTTTTCGAACACTCTGCAAGCCACTTGTGGGAAATATCATGATCAGTGCTGTGCTACATGGCTGGGAAATATTTCCCCTCTCCAGCTGTTACAAATCCACAGAAGTGTGTGTGTGTGTGTGTGTGTGTGTGTGTGTGTGTGTGTGTGTGTGTGTGTGTGTGTGTGTGTGTGTGTGTGTTGAGCTGAGATATTTCTGTTCATAAGCTCTCTAAGACTTGCAGTTTTTTCCCCTGCAGGTGATCAAGAAAGACACGGGGTTCTGGAGGGACTTTGGTTTCGGCATGACCTGCCAATACAGGTCCGACTTCATCAACATAGGTAAATATTTGCGCTGCAGTCATGCCAATCACAACCTCTCTAGGAATGCAGGAAACAGTTGCTCTTGAGGGTTGATTATCTGTGCAGAGGCGTCTCATAGCGCAGGGTAAAAAATGGTCTTAGATTCTAGATGCTATGCTAATGGTGCCATAGCGTAATGGATATGAAAAACTTCAGAACACAAGTGGTTCAATATTACATTACTTTTCATAACTGGGAGGAGATTTTATTATATTGCTCTGCATGAAACAGCCCTGAGCAGCAGTGGCAGCATATATTAGCATATCTCACAGCCCTGTGAGCTCTCAATCGGTATATTAGTTCAGGAGTGTTGGCTCTCAAGACAGATTTGCATCAATTTAGATTCCCTCCAAAGTGACATCAATTAAAGGCTACAGTGAAATTCAAAGTGTTTTATTGTTTGAGGGCCAAACACCCACACAAGCATACAAATGCTCTCACTTTAATGTGCCGAAATGTTAAACAAGCTCCAAGTCAAACAAAAATCTCATTTGAAGGAATAATTAGACATTTTAAGGAAATAAGTTTATTCACTTTCTAGCAGAGTCAAGTGCAAGTACATGGAAATATGTATGCTTATGTATGTTATATTACTTTAACTTAGCTTAGCTCAGCTCACAACTTATCGGGTTTGCACTTTTGGATTAAAGAAACAACATATAATTTGTTTTTGTTTTACCTTTATACAGAGCCAGGCTAGCTGTTTCCCTGTTTTTCCCGTCTTTATGCTAAGCTAAACTAACCAGCTTCTGGTTGCAGCTTCATAGTTACCAAACAGATGCATCAATAGACTCATCTAACTCTTAAAAGAAAGGGAATATGTTTGTTTCTCTAAAATGTTGAACTATGCCTTTAAAGGCACAATTGAGTTGTGCCGTTTAATGTTTTCAGACATGATGATGCAATGTGTTATTTAGGCCATGAGTGCATGCACATTAGCAAATGAACAATTCATCTGTTGGGTTCATTTCTTGTCTCTGTTTAGCCCTGGAGCATGAGTGTAAAAAGGGAGACAGAGACGGACAAAATAATCGAAATAAAACTGCAGAGAGACACAAAGTGTGAGCAGAAACAGACAAGAGTACTTCACGCATGTAAAGGTGCAGGTTTAAACATGCCAGGTCGAGAGCTGTCTTGCATCATCGCCCCCTCGTGAAACAACAAACCAGGTGGAGTGGAGAGAGAACTTATTATGATCACGCACTGTAAACTCTAATCAGGATTCATGATCGGCGTTCCTTTATCAGGAAGTGAACATAGCGCTGAAGACATAAATTACTTCTTTTTTTTGCACATCAAAAGGTTTATGATCATCATAACGCATACTATAATGTCATATTAAAGTTTAATAATATGCTGCATTCTGCTCTTGTAACTCCAGGAGGTTTTGACATCGACATCAAAGGCTGGGGGGGCGAAGATGTCCACCTGTACAGGAAGTACCTCCATAGCAACCTCCTAGTGGTCCGAGCACCATCACGAGGCTTGTTCCACCTGTGGCACGAGAAGCACTGCGCCGATGAGCTCGCTCCGGACCAGTACCGCATGTGCATGCAGTCTAAGGCCATGAACGAGGCCTCGCACGGCCAGCTGGGGATGCTCTTCTTCAGGCACGAGATCGAAACTCACCTCCGCAAACAGAAACAACAGCAAAACTCAAACCCCAAGAAGTCGTGAAGACTTCAAGATGGTTGAATTATAATCAGCGCAATGACTGCAATCAGTGGAAATGACTCAGATGAATCCAAGTGATCTGAACTTCATGCGATTTTGAAGGAATAGATCAACATTTTCTGAAAATATGCTTATTTGCTTTCCTGCCAAGAGTTTAATAAGATTGATACCACTCTCCTGTCTAAATGTGGAGCTAGAACCAGCAGATGGATTAGCTTAGCTTAGCATAAAGCATGTGGAAACAGGGTGGAAACAGCTAGCCTAACAGAAGCTGAAAGAAGCAGCCTCTACATTATTGTAGTTGTACGGGTGGATGCATGCTGGACAATTTATTGGCGGAAATAGTCAAGAAAAATATTTTGTTTTCTTTGGAGAGAGCCAGGCTATTTTTTCCCCTCTGTTTCCTGTCTTTATGCAAAGCTAAGCTAACTGTCTCCTTAGCATAAAAATATAAGAGTGGTATCAATCTTGTCATCTAACCCTCAGCAAGGAAGCGTATAAGCCCAAAATCTCAAACTATTCCTTTAATGAAAAAGGTGAAGACTTTTTGCTTTTCAAGGACTTTGTTGCTCTGGAAAGGACAACATGAAATGAACATTAATTAAAACTGACTTGAGGGATTCAACTAGAGTTGGACTCAACAGATCTCCTGTCTGAAACGTCAGTATGTAATTTAACGCCCATTTGTATTTTCCTCTTTAACTGCAGGAAGGCCTTTTAGAAAAGACAGCGTCAACGTTTGAGCTGCAAAGTGTGTCTGAACCGCGTGCCTTCTGTGAATTAAATCTGAACACTGTCCGTTCAGGCTGGCCAGTGAAAATTGAAAGTACATCTTTTCATGTGTAGGGAAACAGAGCCACCTAGTGGACTGAAAGTGAAACGTGTCGGTACGTAAACAATGAAGGACTTAAAGCCTGGAATGGCCAAAACATATTATTTTTTATAAATTATTCATTCCTTTATTTATGTTTGTTATTTCGTAGTATGTCATTTCTGATGCAGCTGCTGCATGGACAGTATTCTGTGTGACCATTCACTTCTATAATGAATGAAGTCAAAGAAAACGTGCTAGGAATGACAGTATCTGTGGGTATTTGTCAGTAAAACATTTTTCACAATAAGCGTTCTCAACATGAGACGTATGTAATTATGCCCAAAATATAACTACAGATAAATATATTTTTAAAATGTATAATTTAAAGAATAAACCTTAATGTAGACTAATTAGTGTTTTTTTTGTCACATAACTCATTTGTGGACACACAATTAGGATTACTGACTGACAGTAATACTGTTCACTGTCCTGACATTGACGATGACTTAGTAAGTCAGAATGAGACTTATTGATCTTAATATTTTAGTTTATGTCAATCAAATTGCATTACATGTATTACTGAGTAGTCAGAGAAACTGGAGATGTTGTAGATTTAGAGATATAACTTCCTCGATGGTTACTTTATATTAGATTTAATACAGTCGCCCATCAATCTGGCTCCAGCACTTCAATCAAATGGAGCTGTACATTTTGTGGATGACCAAAGATGTGAAAGGAGGCACTTTATAAATCGTGTTTTTTTTGTTTACCATTGGAACATTCCTTGTTAAAAAATACATTGAATGGCTTTGAAATGTAAGTTTCAAGTTTATTTTTTCATTTCATGTAAATGAGTTGAATAAAACATATTCGTGCTTTGCATAATGCTTAATTATGATGTGTTTGCTTACGCCATCTGCTGTTAGTATCAAGTCTTATCCAGCTTTAAGGTGGAATATAAGGCAAACATTGTAGAGAATATTTAAATTTGTACTTTTACTTCTTGGCAATCCCATTATGATGCATTGTATATTGATATCATTATCTTAATATTTTAGGGACCAGTTGCGGAAGAAAAGTATGGAGACTCAACGTGTTCAGTATTTAACAAATAAATAAAACATTGTGAAATAAATAATCATACAAAAAAGAAAGACAAAATGTATATGATCATGAAATTGTGACATAATACGCTCAGCTCATTATTATGTTAAATGTTATATTATTCTGCTTAGTCACAAGTTTAATTAGAAGCTCAATTAATTTCAGCAGATTTTTTAAAAATCAGTTTTTATCACATTTTTCCCAGTGGCTGTTTTAATTCATAATGACACTTTTAATCACAAAGTCTTCATCTGTCAATCAAGACAAACCGGCTAAAGACAGTTATGAGAGAACAAAAGAAAAATACAATCCGACTCTTAAAGGGAACAATAGTGGTCCATTCACACAGGTGCTGTCAATCACTTTGCCTAATTAAAGCTTCTCCCAGCACAACGTGGGCTTGTGCTGACTCTGCTTGATTGCTCATTTTTCTGTTAGATAAAGGACACGTTTGTCTTAAGACACAAGTCAGGTGACCATTTGACAATTAAAGCAGGTTTTTCTTGCTGTAATCTTCACTACTGGACTTCCAATGTAAATGTTGGGAGACAAAATCCACAGTCCTTTTTCTGTGCAAATGCATTTAAAAGTGTATCTGAAGTTAATGAGGCTTCAACAGTCTGAGCAGTACAGTTCAACAGCACCACAGACTGCAGCCTCCTCAATGAAACTGTCCTAAAACTGTCCAGTCAAATCAAAACCGTATTATAACCTTCAAGAGGGTAATAGGACTGTTGCATTAGACTGATAGTTTTGTTTTAGTGTACCTAATTAACTGAGTGTATCTAATGGAAATAAATAATTTGAATAATGATTCAGGTTTTTGAGCTATTGTGTATTTCCAGAAATATTTCAGTATTGTATTAGTGTAACTTCACCTTCAAAGCACTAGATGGTGGCAATGAGCTGTTAATGTCTTCCTTTTTGTTCCTTTAGTAAGTGCGCATGGCGTTGGTGTTTATGGTAAGTTTAACATCACAAATAATTAAATGCAGGCTTATTACACACTGAGATTCATATTAAGGCAAAAAATACGGAAAATTAAGTGTAAATGAACGTTATCACATTATCTAACAAATGAATGAATGTAGAGTTGGTCGTACTTTCAGTGTATTTGAAGTTACCCAATTTCTCATTGGATACATTGTTTCTATGGGTTAGTTCACTAGTGCCTTTTTCTAATTCCCTGGGTGACAAGTGTGTGGGGGAGTTAATCAAATCAAACTGTAACGTGGCTTTAGTCTCCTGGGTTGAAGTTAGGAGTCACCATGATTATTTGGATTATCTAGACTAAAATAGGACATCTTGGAAATCCTTTAAAAACAACAACAAAAAGAATAAATGACACGCTGTTGTTTTACTTTACTCCAATAACGTGCTATAGTTTTGAAGAAACACGCTCACTGCGGGAAGTTTACAATAATTAATCTCCCTATTTCCGATTTTTTCCGCGAACGTTTGAAGGCACCACGCAGGTTTGAGCCCCCCGGGAGCTTCCGGCTCGACTGACCGGACAGGTGTCCGTCCAAACGACCCGGTGCTTCGTGGGAGTGACTGTTTGTTTTATTCATCTGCTTCAGAAACCACCATGTCAGACTTGTGGAGTTATCGGCGCTGCTGCAGTTCACCGCCCCCCAACAACAACAACAACAACAACAGCAACAAACGCATATCGTCTTGATATGTGCTGTTCTACGGCCCGGGCGTCGACGTTTTATTGTGTTTCTGCACCGTTTGCAAGCACTTTCTGCACCCCCACGCGACCGTAGAGAGACGCAGCAGCAGCAGCGTCGTCTCGAGGAGGGGCATCCCCCTGCTGGTGTTTATTACTGGAGAGGACGCAACACAAATCAGAGGAGTCGAGTCAGAGACGGAGAAGAGCAAACATGTTCGAGGCGAGAGGAATCCCCTTTGTCCTGCTCGATTTAGCCTGTCTGATTCTAGGTATGTATGTCAATGCTTTCTACTGACTTGTTTGTTACAGCTAAATGTCTAAGCCGATTTGTGCTCCGATATAATCCTACTGTTTTGGATATTTAACGGCTTGCCATGACGTGAAGGGAGTGGTGAATGTTCAGCTGCACGCGAGTGTCAGTCACTCTAGTTACGTTTATATTTTAACCTCTAAGTTAAGTGTACCAAATCAAACTATGTGATTTGCAGTATTTGTGTAATAGCTTTCTAGGTAGGCTATACAGTTGATATAATATGTTCAATCAATAATTCCATGTTCTTTGTTTCCAGTGTATGCAAATTAGTGCATGTTTCAGATGCTCATAGGCAATCTAATAGTCAATATTGCTATTTTCTTGAGTGCAACAATATGTAATAATCCACATAATAATCCGCCTGTCTATAAACAAACGTGTGGATGTACTCTTTTGTTCAAGTTGTTGCTGAGAAACAATGTTATGAATGGAATTGATACCTCCCAGGCTTATGTTTTAAACCCACTCACACAAAGTTCCTGATTCATGCAACCACACCTCATTACATGGGAGAGCACCTGTACTCCTATCAGACCCGAGACTGTTCAGAACATTACAGTATCCGCTCTCCTACCACTGTTTTGAATGTTCAACACTTATTTAAGTCCTTTTTAACATCTGATTATGAATAACAGTCCACAGGTTATGTCAACGTTAACATGTGGAGAAAATACTGACTTGGTTTTTCTACAAAAGAGTTGAATTAGTCCCCCCCCCCCCCACAAAATCCAGAATATATTGATATGCAAATATCTGTTTATGACTGGAGAGAGATGTTAAAATATTGCTTAGCTTCAAAGGCTACAGACTTATTTAAAGTGCACAAGTGCCAGTGAGAACCAGTGTGACTGGACCGACTCAGTCTGCTGTTTGGATGACTGATGCAGAAGCAAACTGGATTATTCTGCTAACGACACGGACTATTAGATTATAACCGAGCATCTGCAGTAATCTGCTTGCAGACTGAGGCAGCTGCATGTGACTAAACACGCACATAGATGGAGGTTCGACTCCAAAGCCCGATAAATGTGAGAACAGAGATAGGTTTTGTTTCTTATGAAGAGCAGAAAGTGCTCGGAGAGGCTTTTGTGCTGGTTTGCTTCCACAGTTTTTCCAACACAATCACTGAGATGCTTCCAAGTCTTTTATTTCTGTTGTAATATACACTTTTTGTTTTTTTTTCTTTCTGTCCATGTGTTTGTCTTGGGAAGTTAGTCGCACAGTCATGAGAAGGTTAAAGTGTAGCACGGCTTCCTGCTGCAGTTCTGAAGGGACTTGGTGGTCCTGCCGTTCCGTCGCTTGTGTGCTTCTGTCGCCACTTTCTGGCATTTTCAGCTGTTGCAGCCGATCAAGTTAGTGTGGCACAGCTGACCGTGTCAACAGCTGCACCAATGGCAGGCCGGATTAAAAAGTAGTTCATGGGACGTTTGTGTATCTTCATGCCTTTGTGTGTGTGTGTGTGTGCTCTGTGGATTGTGTGTTTTTTAATGTGCATTACAGCTCGTTTTCTGCTTGAATAGACCAAAAAACAATGCATTTCCCCGACTATACACTGTGCTAAACGGGCCAAACCAGCAGAGAAATAACAGCAGTCTTAAATTCAGACTTTGAACTGTCAGAACCTATTAACATAATCTATTATCTTTATGGTATTATCTATAGGGAGTGCTGAGCTTATGTCCACAGCTCCCTTCACACCGATGAGTCAGTGCGCCAACAACAAAAAGCTTCTCAATCCTCCCTGCTGGAAAAACTACCCAAAGACAACATCATTCTTTGGTGTAATGAGGTTCACTGTGTAATACATAATGTTGCAGAGTATCTGACTGATGCACATCTTCTGTGGCTCAGGGTCAAAGGATATGACTTGCAATATGTTCCTTATTTGTGAACATTTCTCACGAAAAGATTAAAACTAACAATGAATTGATCTTGAGCTGTGTATGTAGCATCAATAAGTACTTGATGACATGTTCCATTTATTGCAATAAACAGGGAGGAGTCAATCCCACATACACGTCATGCTCATTGTAAAGGTCATTTTGCACTACTGCTCCAAATTTCCCAGCTGAAAGTAGTGCCAAATAAATGCTCTTATTTGCTCCTGCGTGAATATCAGTTGATAAAAACTTCAGTGCCCAGCATTTTAAGGAAATCATTTAAATTGAAGTATATATTTGTGATCCGTTTGTCCGTCTTCATGAGGAACAAATGGGCTGACGGCTGACTGTTATAACATATTAAGAGACAATAACTCATGTTTTTGGTCATTTAACCGAATTTAATGACACAAATAAAATGAAGAATAAAGACTCATCCTTTACCTGGCCTGCTCAAAAGGTTGGGGGGGTCTCTCATTTCTGTCACACAGATTTGATTATTTGCTATGACGCTAAAGAGCACCATCGTCCTCTCACGTCACAAATTCCCTTCTACAAGAAAGATGACGGATTTAAAAGACCTCGACACTTTGTTTCGCCACCTTTTTCTTTCTCTGCCATGCTTCTTTTTCCCCCCCTCCCTTTACAGTGGTAACTTCTCCTGATCTCTTCGTCCACAGGGGGTCTGCCTCTGGCAGCCTTTAACCTGGGTAAGATCCGCCCCTACCAGAGGGGCTTTTTCTGTAACGACGAAAGCATCAAGTACCCTTTCCACAGCAGCACAATAACCTCCACAGTGCTCTACACCGTGGGGTTCACCCTGCCCATTAGCTGCGTAAGTAGGCGTCAATCAATGGCTGGTCTCATGGCCAATATGTTGACTTGTCAATCACAGGTGTAACCAAATGACTTTAATGCACTACGAGGTGTACCGGGGCGCTACGCTCTGGTGTGATGCACGCTAGTTTACTGGCACACCTACATGGGAAGCAGCCATTATTATAAATTACCTGTGATGGCAAGTCAAGATGTGCTGATAGACCAGTCTGTTAACAGATCAACACACCTCCAGAGCCTAATTTAGGAAGTATTCACAATACTTAGCTTCCTTTTAATTGTTTTTAATACAGAAGCTGTTAACGATAGCACACAGCTGTCTGGTATTGAAATCAGATATGCACCGTATATGTTTTATTTAGTTTCTTCTCGCAGCGTGAGGCTTGTGACATGTTTAAAGGTTATTCACCAACATCAGCTCTTACAGTTGTGTATCAAGAGCTGAAAGGAAGATGTCCACTTAAAAACAATTCATATAAAACCAAGTTGGTAAATATTAAATCATGTTGCGTCCACACACGCGTTTCAACTGTTTAGTTTGTTTTATTTTTTTTTAATTTCTTAATGTTTGATTTTAATCATTCTATTAGTCAATTATTATCTTCAATGAACTCAAACTCAAAACATATAATGAAATATGGATGATGTGAAGTGAGGACAGGCATTTTGGTTTTTGCTTATATTTGAATCATTTAGTTTTTAATGTTAATCTACTGGCTGAACTTTCTGTTGCTCTGTTTAAACAGCTGGAATGCTCCTCTGTTTCTGGAGAAAGACGGATGCAGCAAGTGTTGCTGGTGTGTGCGTCTGCATTCTGTTATTGCTTTGTTGTATCAGTGATTTATCTCTTCCGTCTCTGGTCTGTAGTATTTATGTATTATGAGTAATCTAAAGCCCAGTCTGTCACTCTTAGTCTCAGTGCAGTCTAACTTTAAACAACTCACTGCATCGTTCCCCGTCTGCCGGTTGAAGGTGTCGGAGAAAATGTGGGAATTTAAAAACCGGAGAGTTTTAGGAAGAGGTGTTGGTTTGCCAAAAAGAATAGAGACAAAGAGGAAACGTCAAGCAGGACTTTGTGAGAGAGGAAGTGAATGAGAACATGTGTAACATATGAGCATCTGTGAGGCCGCTGTTTCCTCCCACTCCCTGTGGGGCTCAATAACCTCAGAAATGTCACTGGTTTGCTCTCATCTTTGGCTTTTCTCTGTGCCATCACTGTAACCACTAATATTTGCACACTGGTGTTCCTTCAGAGGATGCAACGTGTCGTGCGACCCCCCCCCCCCCCCCCCCCCCCCCCCCCCCCCCCCCCCCCCC